TTTGACACGTCAGGGAGCTGCCACAGGAGCTCAGAGACACTGAGCCCTTTAATCCAGAGCAGGAAAGCTGTCAGCCAAAACCAGACACCAGCTAAATCCAGGATATTTCTAATCCTGATCTCAGCGCTGTCTAGGAGCATCTGGTAGTGGGGAGAGGGGGAGACACTTTGCTGGCCAGCCCTGGCTGGTGGCATTCCCCAATGCCCCAATTCCGTCGCGAGGAATGACATTTTATACATAGACACAGCAACAACTGAGCTGGGGTGGCCATTCCTAGAATGCACAACTGGCTGGGCTGCATTTGCCTGGGAAACTGGAGACCCAGGTCCCCCATCCCAGCCCCAAGCCTGCATCCAATCACACAGACAATAACAAGGCTCGAGGGCTATTTCTGGCCCTGCAGTATGTCCCCCTTGGAGGTTGGTGCAATGAAACACTGATCCTAAGCACCTGTGCTGGCCAATCTGAGGGATTTTTGTGTTGGAGCAACTCTAGGCTAGGTACAGCCAAGCATTTTATGGGAGAAGGTGGAAAGCCTCTTCCTTTTCCCCTCGCTGAGATGACCCAGCACTCGCAGACACTTTGTCCTTTACATCTGTCACGGAAAATGCTGAGCTGGAAAGGGACCCACAGGGATCATCGAGTCCAAATCCTGGCCCTGCACAGGACAAACCCAAAAATCACACCATGTGTCCCAGAGCATTGTCCAAATGCTTCCTGAATTCTGGCAGTCCTGCAGGGAGGCCCCTAGGCAGCCTCAGAGGGGGTGTAAAGAACAGGAAGAGAGGATGAAGATGGGAAAAGGACAAAGGGACTCTACAACCAAGCACCATCTCCCGCTCTAGGTGACACAGGAGGTTTCTGTGCTCCAGGTGACATAGAAGGCTTCTGCCAGAAGACAAAACTGAAGGGGCTATTAGGTCTGAAGTCAGCCAGAAATTAATCTCTCCACCCTGGTTCCCTGCCAGCTGTTTCTCCAGCCAGTTTTAAAGAAACCTGGCCAAGGAGATGCTACACTGTCCATGCTCTACTGAGCTGCTGCAAGAGAAGCGTCCTTCAAGGATGTGTTGTGGCAGCATAAAACCCTTCCTCCATTTCTACCTCATGTAAGCCTTTCCATCCCTTTGTGGTGTGAAACCCTCTCCTCCATGTGGGAAACCAGCAATCTTTGTCTCCACCTCCTACTTCCTAAGCCTGGCTAGTCCCATTCCTCTCCCTCTAGTCTCTCTCCAATGGTTTTGCACAGTAAAAACCAGGGCAAAATCCCACAGCTCAGCCTTCTGCCCTCCAGAAGGAGCACCACTCCATCCATTTCACCTCCAACACTCCTATTCCACACCCAAAAACAGCACAATTCCCCCCAAAACCCCACAGCCGCCCAACCCCACCACCACCACCACCCCGCGGCGCCTTCAACGCACCTTCATGCCCACCAGGTTGTTGTGGAAGTCCACCCTGGCTCGCAGGTCCTTGTTGGGCTTCCTCCCCAGGAACTCCTTGACGAACTTGTTGCTGTACTTGAGG